GGTTTTCATATAAGAAAAGACAGCGTAGGTGAATCTGTGAATCCGAATGTTCTGGTAATGCCAAATGGCATGTGGTATAGAGGAATACGCAATCGTCTTTTGCTGCGATCGACCTTTGAATCTCTTCATCAAAGTGGAAACGGGTTCAATAAAGTGAAGCAGTATTTATCATTTAGAACAATGGCATTATGCCTGCCAGCCAGGCATCAATGCTGAATTTCACAAGAGGATCTTTTGCTGTTCTGTAACTTTGCTTTGGCTTGTGCCCTCCCAAAACTATGTCATGTGAGCACAAACCCCCTCGGGGAATAAGATAAAAAAGGACAAGCCAGAAAAGCATATTTACAAGCTAAATATATAAAACGAAAATGTGGGTCTGCCTTATTAACTTGTATGCATGAAAGTTGAATAAATACATTAAATTGCAATAAATAGTCCATAAAAAAAGCCATTTAGATGCTTAATAAGCGCGCAGAGCCAAATATTTTTTTGATTTTGGCTATTTCGGGTTTAAGACGTTAAGATATAATTGACCATAACTAGAAAAACTAAAATTCAATGCTCAAGTAGCCGAAATAAATCGTCGATAAACAGGATATTCTATAATTGCATGTAAAGAAATCAAGTTAAAGTTGAGTTAGGATTAGTCAAAGTTGGATCAGAATGGCTTCAACGAGTGAAATAAAAGCCCAAATTAGGCTGACGAGTATATCCCAGTTTAACACTACTCTTATTTTTCTTATGTAAGTAGAGTTTTAAGACTACTAAATCTCATATTAAAGGTACGCTCTCCCAGTCGTCCTCTCATTATGATAGAGGCGATATTTGCCTACGTCATATTTATGTTAGACAAAATTGCCTGTATGGCCATGTACGGACAGAAGTGGGTTATTTTCTCTGCATAACTGACACTCTTAAGGAAAGAAAATAAAGGTCATTTGGGCATTCATCGAATTCACATTGAGTCTCTTAATCAAGTCTATGAGGAGGGTAATTCAATTCTTGTCTTAGACGAGACCTCAAATCTCTCAACAGATCATTCTCCCTGGACGCTACCGGGTAACTTTTCATTCGGGCAAGGACATTTTCAATATGGCAAGCGAGCGCTTTTGTTTCTGGGCCATAAAAAAGCTGATTTTTTTTTGTTATAATGCTTGGATAAAATGTATAGTGGCTTTAGACAGACCTGAGTTTCGACTGGATTTTGGGCTGGATGGATGGCAATTGTGCCCAGTGTAGTTGAATTGGCCACGCATCCTAAAACACCATTCTCATCTTCCGTCATTGATGAAGATTCTATTTTGCGTCAGACAATAATCTGCACCCAGTTTGGGTATTTGTGTCAAGTTGAATTGAGTTACCGCCATATAAGCCATATTTTATTATAAGCTAATGCTCGAAACCCAAGTATATCGAAAATATGTTGGCCAAACTGGTACCAATAGACAATCATCTATTTGTCAACAAAATCACATCGAACTCAGACCCTAGGAAGCCCACTGAAACTGGCATAGTTTGGCAACAATCGGTCAGTCACATGATGACTTGGACGCGTAAGGCTGTCTGCAACCACAACATGACTTGGGTAGTGCTGCGTTTGAAGGAAAGATAAGGTCTGTATCAGCTGATCGTCTACTCCGTCCACGACGCGAGTCCTGCCAGCGAGGAGATGAGGAGTCGAGACTGCCGCCAATGCTGACGGTGAGAAGTGCCTCTTTGGATGGGCGACAAAAGGGTATTCATTGTAGAGATCAAGCATTTCCTCATCTCATTGTGCCCAGATTCGCCGTTTCCATGGTGATTAACTAGTCGAAAAACTATAGGCAACCCAACACTTCCGCCATGCCTCTCTAATTGCATCTTTGGTGGTAATCAGTCTTGTGTATATATAAAAATCTCTCCAAACACTACTGAATTCCGATTCAGTACTACTGTCTGTTATGTGGAAGAATAAGTTGTAGTTATTTTACATTTATTTCTGATTAAAAGCACACGCGGGAGCTATCTGCCGAAGGCAGTTGGGATCACGCATTTATGCTGGTTCCTGTGACTGCAATAAATCCCCTCTTAGAAGACTTTACCAAGCATATCGATCAACTTTTATCGCCTGTATTTGTCCACTTACATAGATTGCATTCTGACCTAAACTTGGTATCGAATACTACTGCTGTCCATTTCAGTAACATGCTCATTTTAGCTGAAAAACTATCTTGTTTTTGAAAACTTGTCCCCACCACGTAAAGATGAATCCAAGAGAATCGGGTTTTTTTTTGAAGTCCCCATCTTGTGATGACCATGTCATTCTGATTCACATGCAATAGGGATTTTGTGAACGTATTTTCACCGATCTTATATTGAATTTGATAAGAAGTTGGTTTGCTTCGTCTTGCTTCAATTCCCGATTGGTGTTGTGTTAAGGCTACGAACTGAGTGCGAATAGTTATTGTTGGTCATTTTACAGCGAAAACTTCATAGACAAATCGAGTTTTCTCGTCAAGTAATGCTAAAAGATATGAGTCCTGTAAAGTCATGTTCATTATTTGAATATATGAAGACCAAGATGTTGTGGCCTCTGGTGTGGTCACAGTCTCCTTTCGATTGATAGAAGT